CCAGGACTGAGAGGGAGGAGGGGACAGAAAAGAATATAGAAAACTAATAAAGAAAATTACTGCCCATATGGTATGTATAATCTGAGAGGGTAAGGTTGTTGTTTTTTTTTTTTTTTCTCGGAACTGGGTTGAACTTAGGCCCTTGCGCTTTCCAGATTCTACTGAGCCATCTCCCTGGCCCCAAGTGGTAGATAACTTTATACAAGTATGCAGGATGTAAAGAGAAAAGTAAAGGAGCAATGGAAATAGAAAATGAGAGCATGAATCTGTGTATGTGACATTGTAGGAAAACCAGACATGGCCGGCCCCGCCGTAAAGCTGACAGTTGAACGGAGGTCTGAAGAGAATCAGAGCGCGAGCCGTGGACTCTGTAACCTCAGGCAGAGGGCGCGGCTGGAGCGTGGGCAGCATCCCAGAGTCAGCAGAGCTGGGGTGCTTGCGCCCGCGGCGGGCAGTGAGGACGACCTGAGGCGGAGAAGCTCCAGCACAAGGACAGGTAGGCCCTCCTCGTAGGACTCAAGACCACTGAAAGGCTTGTGGCACTTACTCGGAGGACAATGGGCGCCGTTTGTGAAAGGGTCTGAAGAGCAAACTGATACAAAGTGACCCAGGCACTACCAGGGTTTTACTTCTTTTGAAGCAATCTTTAAGAGGGAGCCAAAGGCACAAGCGGAAGCACCAAGATCAGCTTGAAAATCTGTTGTCATGAATCAGATAAAAATGATGTGGTAGGGCTGGCCGGATAGCTCAGCGGATTAAAGCGCCTCCTTAGGCAGACACAGGGACCAGGATTCAGTCCCCAGAGTGCCCTGCCGGCCGCGCCCCCAGGGTGCGCTGAAACTGGATATGGTGGCCTGCGCCTGTAATCCCAGCGTTTAGGAGGCTGAATACAGGAAGATCATTACGAGTCCGATCTGCGTAGTGAGACCCTGTAGACCCTGCACTAAATACATTAAAAAAAAATTATGTGGACTTGGCCTCATTTGAAATAAGAATAGTTTTCAAAATGGTGCCGATTTGCAGGTGGATCCAAGCTTTGGAAGATGCCTGGCTGCCTCCATTGGCTGTGAGACACGGGAGGGAGGGCTGTGAAGCAGGGGCGGAGAGAGCAGGACAAAGCTTTAGCACAGAAATAAATCTGAAAGCCAGCAGCAGCAGATAAACCTGGGGCCTGGGTGAGCCCCCACCCCAAACTCTAAGCGAGGAGCAATGCTAAGGACTGAGCAGAGGAGCATTCTGACACAAGGAGGCCTGAAAGGAACCAGTGAGAACCAGCTCTTAGATTTAGCAACACAAAGGAAACTGACATGTTTTCATTTTTAGTAAGAAATCATGTCAGATGTAACATTGCCTCTTAATTTCCATGTGAAATCAGTTGTGAAGTTGAATTCTTTAACTCTTGAGTTTTAGGCACATTTGCGAATCTATAGTTGTTATGGAAACCAGAAAGATGAGATTTTTCTTGTTGAATCTTTTTTTAATTGGACTGGGTCCTACTATGTAGTTTAGGGTGGTCTTGAACTCTTTATCTAGCCCAGAGTCTGGCCTGTAACTGGTTTCATCCTCTTACCTCAGCCTCCTGAGTGCTGGAACTGCAGAAATGCAGCACCATGCCTAGCTATCCTCTTTTTTTTTTCAGGACTGGGGATTGAACTCAGATCTTTGTGCTTGCCACGGAAGCACTTATTCTACTGAGCCATCTCCCCAGCCCCCCCACCGCCAGCTAGCCTCTTGTTGAATCTAATTTACAATGAAGGAAGAACACCGATGTGTTTGTGCTGGGGTTGTAGCTCAGGGATAGAACACTGTCCTAGTATGTACAAGGCTAAGTCTCTGTTGTAATATTGTGCTTTAAACTAAAACTCATAGTATATGAACTATGTTGAATGATTCATAAAACCAAACAGCCCTGTGGCATCCTAATCTTTGTGTGGTCTCTCAGCCACTAAATATATGCATATATTTTGAAAGTTTTTTCCTCTCTATTTTTGGCCTATAACTCTGGCACATCTGAATGTTAGAAAAAAAGCAACTTTTTTTTCTCCATGATCAATCACAAACTTCTGGGGCTCAGCCCTCTCACGTATATCTTAATTAACACATTTTCAAACCAGCTTTTTCTTGTATTATACCAGGTCTCATTTGGCAATCTTTGTGCTGCAGGCTCCTAGGATTATAGGCATATGCTACCATGCCAGCCTCCATAATTATTGTTTTTATTATAAGGGGGCAGTACTGGGGTTTAAAACCAGGGCCTGCATACTGTGCTACTGTATTTTTTATTTGGGAACAATGTATTGTTAAGTGGCTAAGTAGCTCAGGCTGAGTAAGAATTTTCCATCCTCCTGCTTCAGCCTCATAAGTGCTATGAAAACAGAGGTGTGCCATCATGTCCTTCCGCCTTGAATAAAATATTTTATTTCATTTCATTTCTGTATTTGGTATAGGGTCTCACCGAGCAGCTTGTACTCGTAATGATCCTCCTGTTTCAGCCTCCCCAGAGCTGGGAATACAGGCTTGCATGGCTCAGGGAAGGGCCGGCATGCAATACAGTACAGGGAATCCAACCCCAGCCCCTGCACTTGCCTAAGCAGGCTCTTACTCAACTGAGCTATCTAGACAGTCCTTGAAAAAAAATTTTATACAAATGAAAACACGTTTAGAGCCAGGCATACTAGTGCATGCCTATAAACCCAGCACTTTCCAGACAGAGGCAGGAAGATCCCTATGAATTTGAGGCCAGCTTGGCATACTCAGTGAGTTCAAGTCCAGCCTGAACTACATAGTGAGATCCTCTCAAAAACTAAAAAACAAATCCACAAACATTTTTTTTTTTTTTTTTTTTTTTTTTTTTTAGATAGGGTCTCACTATGCAGTTCAGGCTGACCTGGAGCTCTCAGTGATTTTCCTGGCTCAGTCTTCCAAGTGCTGGGATGTGCCACCATGCCCGGTGTACAATTTTTTTTTTAATGTATTTGCTCCAGGGTCTATAGGGGCTTACTACATAGATTGGACTCATAGTGATTCTCCTGTTTTCAGCCTCCCAAGTGCTGGGATTATAGGCATGAGCCACCATGCCAGTCTCAATCGCCTTCTCAGTGCACCCCAGGCATGGGGCCAGCACATTGGGTGTACAATTTTTGACCATGAATTTACTGGAAAAATCAGGACTGTCTAAGATTCTTTGTTGAATAATGTAATCATACCTGTGGATTTGGGTATTTACACGACCTCTAATTAATAGGTAGTGTATGCTGCTTGCTCTTTCTTTCATTTTTGAGACAGTGTCTCACTACGTAGTTCAAACTAGCTTAGAACTCACTATATAGCTCAGACTGGCCTCCAACTCACAAGAGATCTCCCTGCCTCAGCCTTGAGTACTGAGACTACGGCATTGGACCACCACATCCGACTCCCATTGCTTTCTTGTGAATCCTGATTTTCTCCTGCATTCCAGCCATAGAATTAAGATGTGCTACCATGTTAATGGCCCCCAGATTTGTGCTTCAGGAAACTGGACTTTTTCTTTTTTTTAACCTTTTATTTATTTATTTAGTACAGGGTCGCCCTTCACAGCTCTGACTCATAGTAATCCTCCTGTCTGAGCCTCCCCAGCCCTGCGATTATAGGCGGTGCCACCACACCCGGTTCCTGGCTGGCTCTGCGAGGGGCTCACAAGGCATGCAGAACCTGGGATTGAAGCCGGGTCCTTGGCGCTTGCCAGACAGGCACTTAGACCACCAAGCTATGTCTCCTGCCTCCTTTTTTCCCCTCTTTTTTGAGTCACTAGCAAGCCCCTCGCCTGCTATTTTTGCCTTCTCCCTCTCCAGAAGACACCAATGATGCTAAGTATATTTTTGTGATGCATGCTAACTCTCTGTTTTGGTGGTTTGTTGTTGCTCATTTTTCAGGGGCACAGTTCAGTCTGGCCTAGAACTCACTAAGTAGCACAGGCTGGCCTTGAACTCCTTAAGGTCCCACCCACCCTTGTGAGTGCTGGGATTACAGGCGTGTGCCACCATGCCTGGTTTATGCTAACACTTGAAGTTTCTATCAGAAGGGAGCTTCTAAATCAAAGTCCAAAATAACTGTCTGCCCACTGCTGTTGTGAAACACCTCATTTAAAACTCATGGAGAAGGGCTGGCCGTATAGCTCAGCGGACTAAGCACTTGCTTAGGTAAATGCACGGGCCAGAGTTTCGATCCCTGGCAATTTACTCCGAGCCTGCGCAGGCCCCGCCCCCACCCCGGGTTCTGCTGAGCCAGGGATGGAGTCCGGGCATGGTGGTGCATGCCCGTAATCCTAGCACTAGGGAGGCACAAATCAGGAGGATCACTCCGAGTGTGAGCTGCGTTGAGACCCTGCACACACACACACACACACACACCCTCAATGAGATCGCTTCCAGCCTTATTAAGCATCACTATGTGTAAGAGAAAGGGGCTGCACGGAGGGCCGCAGAAAAGAATGAAAAACGATGGTAGCGCCACAATCCAAAACTGGGGAACAACCAAGATAACACTAAATACCTGTAATCTCAGCACTCGGGAGGTTGAGGCAGGGAGATCTTTCCGAGTTCAAGGCCAGCCTGACAGCTGCACAGTTACCTCAAGGCCTGCCTGAACGGCATAGTGAGACCCTGCCTCAAAAATGACCAAAAAACAAACAAACAAAACACTATAAGGCTATTGCGTGGAAAAGGTGCTTTAATAGCAACCCCCTGAAGGGCACCCTGCTCCCAAACCCACAATTTTCCACAGCAGCGCTGGCATTCAGTAATCCCACTCCCTAATCCAGTACGGAGGCCGGGGCTGCCAAACTCACACTGCCCGCGGAGCTTGCCGGTGGGCGTGGTCACGTGGTAGGGATGGACCAATCAGCAGCCCGTCCGCCTGTGGATTTTTGTATAAAAGTCCTAGGCGCAGCCCACAGGCCAGCCAGCACCGGCCATTTGGATGAGAGCAAGTGGCGATCGACGGACGTCGGGCGAACCGAACCGCTGCCCTGTACTGCTTCGTCTTGTACTAACAGAGCGAACAATCAGAAAAGGCCCTTTTCCTAAAAGGTAATAGAGACTCTACGAAAGGCTCCCTACTAACTGCTCATCTGGGGGTGGGGGGTCTTTGGGAAGAGTAACCGTTTTTTCCCCTCTCTCCCCTCCCCCAGTAACAGTGGGGGAGGCAGTTAGGGGAAGCCACTGAGGTGCACACCTTAAGCCCGGGTGAGCTGCAAATTGCTTTTCTTTGACTTTACCAACTGTTATCCTGGGGACTGATCTTCACCCCTTCCTTGCCCCCCCCCAACTCCCTATGCTTGTTTTTCTGCAAGTGTTGGGAATTGGAGCGGGAAGGAGGAGGTTGGGGCGTTGTCCATGAAGTTGAACGGTTGGACTGGTAGCTCTTAGGTCTTGGTCATGGCAGAAGGTATAGAGTTTAACTGACATCTGTATTTAGTCTGTGTTGACATTTGGAAAGGGGGAGCCTGTTCTTGATTGATTGATTGATTGATTGATTCATTCATTCATTCTTTCATTCATTCAACTACCTTTATTAAATCTTTGAACATGAAAAAAACCCTGCTAGGATCTGCAGAATCAGAGGTAGGTCTGACCTCAAGGCGCTGGCATTTGAGTGAAACGCTGGTAGAGGAATGTTTCAGACTGTGCAGGCCAGTGTGCAGAGTAGGGTGGCACAATGAAGAATTGTGAATTGTTGAGTGGCTGAGCCGATGTCAGCTTGGGTGGAATAGCAAAGGGTAAGCCAGGCAAGATGCACCAGGGAGCACGCTATAAAGAGTGCTAAAGCAAAGGACCAGATGGCAGAGTGGTCTCCTTCCTTTTTTGTTTTTGTTTTTTTGAGTTGGCTTGCTATGTTGCTATGCATAGCTCAGGCTGCTTTAGAGCCATGTTGCCAGGTTGGCCTCCAACACAACAGTGATCCTCCCAGTTCCCCAGTCCTGGGATTACAGATGTGTGCTACCACACCCAGTTTGAAGAGTGATCCTAAGCAAGTTATAAATCGGAACATCACCATTACATTAATTCATGTGAGAAGTGACAAATGGTTGAACAAAAGCAGTGGTTTAAGAGACAGGGAATAGCATGTTTAATATCTAGAATATATAATTTTACATTTAGCAGTCATTTGTTTGTATAAAGGTATTTGTTATGTTGAGGTGGCTGAGATTTGCATAAGGAAATAGGTCAATTTATTTTGGGGAAGAATTGGGGTCTTGCTATGTAGTTCATGCTGGCCTTGTTACCTAGGCTGTCCTTGAACTCACGGTGGTCCTCTTGCCTCAACCTTCTAAGTCCTAAGAAGAACACTGCAGGTGTTCATCACCACATCTAGCTGTTTTATAAATATTCAATAAGTTAACAAATAGAATTTAGAAAATGGTATCCTGGAGACCAGAGTAGAATTTTAAGAGAGTCACAATACTAGTCAAGTAACATGTTACTGAAAGGCCAAGTAAGATTCAGAAAGAATCCATTGGATGTGATACCTAAACATGGTAAGTGCTAAACTAGTTTGTAAGAAGCTTTAGTGGACTAGTGAAGAAAAGCCAAGGGTGAAGTGAGGAGTAAAGACAAAATAGTGGATGGAGCCGCCAATGGCCTGTAGAACAGCATGCCTAAATTTTACTGTGACTACTGTGATATGTACCTACCCATGACTCTCCATCTGTGAGAAAGACACTGCAGTGGTAGGAAACAAAGAGAATGTGAAAGACTACTACCAGAAATGGATGGAAGAGCAAGCTCAGAGCCTGATTGACAAGACAACTGCTGTATTTCAACAAGGAAAGACACCTCCTACTCCATTCTCCACTCCTCCCCCAGCAGGGGCTATGGTCCCACCTCCACCCAGTCTCCTGGGTCCTCCTTGCCCTGGTATGATGCCAGCACCTTATATGGGAGGCCCTCGCATGATGCCAATGATGGGCCCCCTCCTCGCAGGATGATGCCAATGGGACCTGCTCCTGGAATGAGGCCACACATGGGCGGCCACATGCCGATGGTCCCTGGGCCTCCAAAGATGCAACTGCTGGCTTGGCCCATGATGGTGCCCACTTGGCTAGGAATGACTCGGCCAGACAGATAAAGTGGAGGGGCAGCCTCTCTGTATCAGTTTTATATTACCTATTCTGCTTCACCAAGGGATCATGGTGCTGTAACATTAGGTGTTTTCTAACAGCATGAATGACAGGAAGACTTGCTCCCCCTTCCTATCAAAGAATAGTTTTGAAAGGAGAAGTACGATAAACAAAAGTGCAGAAAGTACAGTTTCATTTGTATTGTGAAATGTGAAAATAAACTCATCAACTCTTTTAGTTAAAAAGTAAATAAATAAAAATAAAGACAAAATAGCTTTGGTAGATGCCTGGTATGAGATACTTAGAGATTTAGGCTACATGCAGATGATAGATTAAGGAAAAAATTTAAGATTTGGTGTAAAGAGGATATTTTAATCCTGATTATACAGAGATATTAATGACATTGTACAGGCTGTAGTCGTCTGAGGTTGGATTTTTAAGGAATTGAGAAAGTGTATAGAGTGAAGCCAGTATACACATACTGAAATGAGCACAGGAATTGTGTGTGTGGTGCTGCATACCTGTCATCCTGCCTACTTGGGAGGCTGAGTAAAATGATGGGAAGCTCAACTTGGGCAACAGGGGTATTTAGCAGGACTACTTCAAAATTTAAAAAAATAAATTGTAGAAGTAGCTAGAATACTCTACTTGTGATTTAATCTCTGGTACCTTTTTTTTTTTTTAAAGTTGAAGATAGAGAAAAGATACAGCAAAGACCTCCAGGAGTGGGTAAAGAAGTAAAAATAGTCAATAAACACTTTTTTTAAAATTAATTTTATTGAGAGAGAAATAGCAGTGAGACAGTTTCAAAACAGGTTAGCAGGACAGTTACAATAATTAATACATTGCATATTGTTGTCTCGTAGTAGTTATTCAGAGTACAAGATGCAGACATGTTGTCTAAACACTGTCAGTACAAATCTTCTCATTGAACTAAGAGAAAGTAGCTGAATATCCTTTTTATATATGTATATATCTATATATATCTATATATATATATTTTTTAACTACAAAAAGATCCTTCATTTATAGCCCCCTTTTCTGTGTAGTTTTGTCAGAGATGGGAATATTTTTCCTTAGCCCTTCAAGATCAGTGAGGACTCAGGACATAAGAGAACTTGTACTATAACATCCTGTAACTCAGTGGTGTCCCAAATTTTCTGTTCAAGGAGGTTATGGAGCCACAGGGGAAAGTGATTGACAATGTAGAGTGTGCCTAAGGAGAGTCACCTAGAGAGAAAACATTCTCTCAGGCTTTCACAGAGAGCAAATTGGTCAAGCAATGACTGTGACTCAACCATATGGCTGGCACTGACAAAGGATCTACAAACTGTGGTACATGGTTTCAGGATAAATCCTAAGGGGGTTGGACTGACCTTGTCAGATACAAAAGTTACATTTCTTGTTATATAGGTCTTGCTTTAGCTTGGTCTTAACCATCCAACAGAAAAGCATAAAAACAAAGTGTAAAAAGTAAAGGCATATTAATATGCTGAGTTGTAAAAGGCTCAAGTCAACAACTTCTGACATAGTTCTGTGGATAACCCACTACTGTTATGGACTGTTGGACTATTTTGGATTATTTTGCTGAATTCACGCACCTACAATATTTGAACGGCAGTGGAATAAATACTTTTTAAAAATGCTCAACATCACTGGCAAATGCAAATCAAAACAACACTGAGATTCCATCTCACACCAGAAAGAATGACTATCATCAAGAAGTCAACCAATAACAAATGCCAGGAGGGTGCAGGAGAACAAAGAACTCATCCATTTTTGATGGAGTGTAAAGTGCTACAACCACTATGGAAAGCAATGTAGAGATTCCTCAAAAGATAAAACTAACAGTTCCATTTGATGCAACTGTGCCCATCTCAGTCTCTTCCTAAAAATCATACCACAGTAATATACCTATATTCATGTTTATAGCAGCACAATTTATAACAGATATATCTTGATAACAACCTATATGTCATCGAAACAGATGAATAGGTAAAGAAAATGTGAAATTTATATAAATGGATACAACTGGAGAGAATCCTGAGTGAAATAAATCAGACCTATGAGTTTAAATATTTCACTGTTTCTCTTGTATGAGAAATTTGAAGCATAAATAAGGAGCAAAATCAGGGAGACATTGGGAAGAACAAAGAATGTGTGTAAATGGGAACGGGAATGAGGCAGGGGGAGTAGAGGAGGAAAAGGAGGCTTGAAGATTTGGAGGGAAAAAATGGGGAGGAAAAATGGGAAATGCAAGGGAATCAAAGGTTGGAGGGAGGGGAGAGGACAAGAAAATTAGGATGTACTGTGTACGTGTACAGATCTTCGTAATGAATAGTTTGTAGGCTTTTTATATTGTCATTCTTCATTTAGTAATGTCCATTAAAGTTTCTTTTCATGGAGGTGATAGTTTTATTTTGTTTTTGTGCCCTGATTTTGGAACCTAGGGTCTCATGCATGCCAGACATATATTCAGCTGCTAAGCTACTGGTTTGCCTGGCTGCCTCAGCCTTCTGAATATGTTGGGAAATGGGTGTGCATCACCATGCCTGATGATAGTTCATTTCTTTTCAGTGCTAAACAATATTCCATCTCATAGATATAATACAGTTTAGTCATTTACCTATAGAAAGACATCTTGATTACTTCCAAGCTTTACCAATTATGAATATAGTAAACAACAGTGTTCAGGCTTTGTATGAGAAATGTCTTAGTTCCTGTTCTTGTTACTCAGACAAAATACCTGAAACTCAAAGTTAAAGAGGGAAGATTTAATTGGCTTATAATTTATAGAGGTTTTAGTCCGTAGTTGGTTGGTTCCAAGGGAGGGTGGCATGGCAAAAGAGAAACAAGCAACAGCCCTCTTTCTGTCTCTCATATCTTATGAAGGCCATCCATCCTTAGGGCAGGTAGTACTCACATTCTTAATCCTAGTATCTCATCCTTGACCCCACATATCCTAGATCC